CCATCGCGGATTCACGTATATACATAATGTAATGAAAAAAGTCCGCGAAGTCGTGAATCCGCGATAGTCGAACCGCGAAGTAGCGAGGGTTCACTGTACTCCAATTCATTTCAATCCCCCTCATTAAAAAAAAAAAAAAAACCCAGCCACCCGTATCTCAAGTAGACCCCTCCAAAGTGTCTCAGATTCAGAAAGTTTGGCCATCGCGGATTCACGTATATACATAATGTAATGAAAAAAGTCCGCGAAGTCGTGAATCCGCGATAGTCGAACCGCGAAGTAGCGAGGGTTCACTGTACTCCAATTCATTTCAATCCCCCTCATTAAAAAAAAAAAAAAAACCCAGCCACCCGTATCTCAAGTAGACCCCTCCAAAGTGTCTCAGATTCAGAAAGTTTGGCAGCCAAGCTGGAAAAAGCAATCAAGTTCCAGTGCAGATACTGATGCTTAGGGAAAAACCATAGAGATGGACTTCCAAGAACTTCCTGCACTGCCCATAGCGGGCAGCTTCCCAGCACAAACGTGCTTGAGGCCTGGTAGAATTATGCCTTTTAAAAATATTCTTTTTATAACCACTTAATAGTCAACTTTGCAGAAAATAAGCCAAGGAGAGAAATGTCCATTCATAACCTTTATTTGCAAACTTACTTCATTACAAGAGAGTCAATATAGGCATCACGTTTTCATCAGTGAACCCCCAGCCTGGACTCTTTTGTGTTCCAGGATCTTTTTTAAAAAAAATACACAATTGTGGTAAATACTTAACAAGTTAAACAATGATTTACCCCTGAGCGTTTTTAGGCCTGGGGGAAATTCAGCCGCCTCACCCATTTTCTCTCACAATTTCCATTTTCTAGCCCCAAGATGAGATACAAGGAAAAGTGTAGTGTTCCTGATCTGTGATAAGTTGAAAAAAAAAGCAATGGAGAAGGAACAGAAGCATAACAGGCTTGGGGAAAAATATCTGGACAGAGGAACTGTTAGTGTACTCCTCTGATCAAAGCTGTGAGGAGCCTCTCACGTGCCCAAAATTCAGGGTATTAGACTTGAGCTGAATACAGTTACCAGTTTCTATTAGAGGCCACATACTCCTGCAGCCTGAAGGCATGTGGGGCTACACAACCCAAAAGCTACTTTGCAAGGCAGTTGGGGACATGCAGGACCTGCTTCTCCAGTGCCCTGCACCTCAAGCAATGATTTGTTCCTGCAAAATAAATGCAAAAGCCAGGTTACAAATCCAAACGGCAGCATTCTACATTCACTCCATGCAGGTGCAAGTGCAAAGAAGTAGAGAATCAGGCCTCAAGTCTCCGTATTCTGCAGACTGCAGGAAAGGCAACCGTTGGCCCAGTTGCAAAGCCTGTGTCCATTTAGAGACGGGGCTTCAAAGTATGGATGGAAAGGGTTCAGATGGCCCCACCCTCTCAACTTCATAACAATTCTGTGATCCACCTACTCCTAGCCCAGACACACTGGCTTTCCCCATCTCATCCTCTATAATTCACTTTTATTGGGTGCTATCAATTCTAGAGTGCTCCAAAATGTGTGGGCTGCAGCACTATGGGATTTGGAGTGCCCCAGAATTCACGGAAGAGGTGAACCACAGCAACGGGAGGAGATAACTTTGTATCAGCTTTTCAAATTCTCAATCCCTAACAAGTCCACAGGGCATCCACACTCTAGATGACATTCTTTAGGTTTGACTACTCCCTTTGAACTAAGGGGCTTTTTACACAACTTCATCAATAACAAGAGATGGACCCTTGTCCAGATATATATTTGTGAATATGGGATCACCTGAACAATTTAACCTCCACAGAACCAATAACTAAATACTTGCAACCGGCTACAAGAGCTTCAAATTGTCCCAGTTAAAGTCTGTGATCTGCAAGAACATCAGGGAGCATGGCTTTTGTTGTTGCTTGTAAAGCTCTTGATAAAACTAGAGTTCAAATGAAACTGGAACCATAAGAAAAGGTCTCCTTTCCCAGACGACTTGCGTTTTCTCACTGCCTCCTTTGCCAAGAAAAGAGCAGTCATAGGAGAACTGCAGATCACCATACAAGGTACCATTGCGCACGTTACATTCGACCACCGACTGAGAATTCGAAAAGTAGCCATGCTGCCCAGTAGGTATCGCTGTTCATGGGGTCACTTAGTGGATTCTCCAGCACCTGAAAGACAAAATAAATAATCCCAACCTTCACTGTAGGCTTTCTTTAAGGATGCAGTTACCATGTATGGAGTAGCGTCTGTTTTCCGTTTGAGCAGGAAGGAAAAAGCACAGATGTGCGTGGGGGTGCACATACGTACAAAGGGAGCTGAAATCAACAGGAATTCTTGTTCTACTGCCTGAGTACTGATGGGACAAGTCATCACAGAAATGGAGAGAGTGAAAGGGGAAAACTGTTTATTCACATATGGGAGAAATGTGAAAGCTCTAGCTACAGGATTGAGAGCCCTGGAAATTGTAGAAAAGGCTCATTCATCATCAATGTCTTTTCCTAATCATCTGGTTCATGTTATTGAAAAAGGGTAACTTTTCAAGATAAAAATCTTCATCTTGCTACTCTTAGAGGCTCAAAAGGTTTTTCTATTACTGTCTTCAGAGCTGCAGCTGTCTCCCACAATGGAGCTAGAAGACATTTTAAAATAGCTTTTCAAAACATTTGTTTTAGCAGATTATATCAGTATAAGAAAAACAGAAACTGATGCTAAGCATTCTCTGTGCCAGTAAATCCGAGGCCAAGAAATAAATGTGACAGGTAGTTCAAGATGGATGTCAGATGGAAATTTCTTTGGTTGTGCTGTTTATCATCATCTGTTTCAGAAATGTGTCACCACAATTCTCAGGGCATTGTATATTTTTTTTACTATCATCCTCAGGGATGCTGCTGCCTTAAAAATCAGTGTTAAAAAGCAAGTCACCTAGTAAGGAAATGAACTTCTTTGTTTGTTTTGTTGACTATTTACTGTTGCAGCTTTTCTTTCTGCTTCTAAAATATGGCTGTTATGGGGGAGAAGAGAGAGGAGAAGAATCCCTTTTCAACGGCAGTAAAAAAACAGTTACCTTCTCGTAACTGTTGTTCTTAGAGATGTGCTGCTCAGATCCATTCCATTTAGGTGTGTGTGCACCACGTGAATAGTCATTGGAAACTTTTTCCTTAACAGTTCCCATGGAGTCAGCAGTGGAAGCCCCTAGATTAGTGCCTTCATTACGCTGAATATATGCTCCTGCCAACCTGGATCCTCCTCAGTTCCTTCTTGCTGGCTACTCCCACAGAGGTGTGGGAGGATGGGTACTGGAATGGAAATGAGCAACACATCTTGAAGGATAACTGTTACAAGAAGGCAAGTAACTTTTTTCTCCAGGTGATGGCTCATATCAATTCCAAGTAGGTAACTTCCAAGCCCTACCTAAGTGGTGAGGTTGGAGTTATGGAGTGACTGACTGGAGCACTGCTCTACTGAATGCTGCATCCCCTCTGGTGTGCTGGATGATGGCATAATGACGGGTAAATGTATGCCTTGAGGACCGTAATGCCACCCTGCAGACCTCTTGTATCAGGACCTTGGCCAGAATGCTGCCAATGGAGCATGCCAGGCTGAAATCTTGGCTCACTTCTAGTACGTTCAGATGCAAGAGGTGATCCATGATGAGAGCGTCTGAGATGCAACGGGATGTCCTTGCATCTATGCTGCAACCATCAAGAACAGCTGCTCTGACTTTCAAAACAACTTCAAGCGCTTGATATAAAAGGCTAGCACCCACCGAACATCCAGCAAGTGGAGTTTCCGGTCTCCAATATTCGCATGAGACTTAGGCAGAAGACAGGAAGAAACATGTCTGAGTTGGTGTGAAATTGGACACACCCTTTGAAAAGCAGCCCAAGTGAGGTTTGAGTTGCACCTTCTCCTTATGAAAAATCAAGTGTGTGTGCGGAGGGCGGGGGAGACGGTTTGGTAGTAAGGGCTTCTAACTTTGACATCCTCCTTGCTGAGGTAATGGTGAGCAGCAAGGCAAATTTCCATCACAGGTAGAAAAGGGAGCAGCAAGTTGCCAGTGATTCAAAAGGGGAACTCATTCATCTGGAGAGGACCAGGTTAAGAACCCACAGAGGATATGTTGTCTAATTTGTGGTTATAACCACTCCAGACCTTTGAGGAAGCATCCAAGCATGGAGTTGGTGAAGATGAAAAACTCGGCTGATCCTGAGTGGAAAGCCAAAATGGCTGCAAGGTGGAGTTTGATAGACGACACTGCAAGACCATGTGGTTTCAGGAGCAGTAAGTACTCCAGGATACGTGCTATGGAAGCTTTTGAGTGGAGATGTGTGATGTATAAACCTTTCCGGCTTTGATAAGCATGTGGCCACAGGGAGGGTTTTCTCCTGCTGGACAGGACTTCTCTTACTAGCTCTGAGCACCAGAGTTCCACGGGGTTTAGCCAGGCAGCTTCCAGGCCATGAGGTGAAAGGACAGGAGGAGGTCAGGGTGATGAAGGCGACCAGATCAGAACCCAGCAGACTGATGTTATATAGGACCAAGCATGGCAGAAGTGGGACAGAGGATTCAAGAAACAGGGGGAAGGAAGGATGCAGTATGGTAGCTGGTGTCCACACCTTGCCCACACCTTCAAAAGCCCTGCCTTGAGCCCCATGATTATTTGGTTGGGACCTGGTCCTATCTGAGT